TTATCATTTGTTTTTTTGCTTTCTTTTTTAATTTCTTTTTTTTTTTTTTGCGTTGCGTTTTTTGTCAAAATTTTGCCACTTCATTTTTTTCCCTTTTGTTTTTTGTTTTTGAATTCTAATAAAATAGACGTACCAAAAATTTTCCATTGAGTGAAAACACTGAGGCTAAAAAACGATCAATTTTTTTCTTCACCTATTGAAGTAACAAAAGGAAAAGAGACTTTTAATAGTGTTTTTTTTTTTTTTTTCGATGCAAATACAATTTTGGTATTTATAAAAAGAAACAACACAGACAAAAAAATGAAAAAAAAGTATTCAGATTTTCTAAAAACTATTAAAACGGAAAATCAGAAAATGAAGCATACGTATGGCAAAGAAAAAAGAAATTAGCCTTAGGAATAAGTCCTCAAATAAACGATCTTTTTTTTTGCCTTTGTTTTGATTGCATAAAATTTACTTGTTTTTCTCCGTTTTTTGTTTTGTTTATTTTATCTTTCTGATTTTCATTTTTTAAAATAACTGCAAAAAAAAAAAAAAAAGCATAGCATAAAAAATGATAACATTAAGCAGAACAGAGCAGTAATCGATGATACAAAGAAAAAATTGTTAAAAGTCTAAAAAAGTTAAGGTTATAAATTAAAAGAAATTATAAAAAAAGAAAGACTAAAATTTTTAGCACTTCTGTAAAATCATTTTTAGTATTTAAAAGTATTTATTGATTTAGGAGCAGAAAAGAATCCATAAAAATTTAATTAACAGTCTATAAACTGTTTGCTGTGATTGGCTGTTGTCGAAATAGTGAACTCTAAAATACACATAAATGTCATTTATCGATGCTTAAAGTTTTTGCTTAGTTAAAAACATAAAACAGAAAAGGAAAATTTGCAGAAAAAAGTTAGAAATTTATATTAGTTAAGCTGCAACTAAAACATAACAACATTAATCAAAAATTTAGCCATTTCTAAACTGTTGGATCAATTAAACCGATAATAAATGTTACAGTTGTCTCATCCAAATAAACAAGTTCAACTCAATCAAATTACTAAAACTGCACATAATCATTGCAACAGGACACCGCTAGCAACCAATCTTATTCATTAATCTTTAACCTTAACCTCCAGTATTTTCAATTTTTAGCTCAAAAATAAATTTATTTCTTGATACCACCTCTAAGCTACAAGCTTAAGCTTTTATTGTCCAAAAAAATACTATAAACAATCAAGTAGACAAACCAAGCCTCCCAACACTAATTGTACATCACATAAGAAAAACTTTTGTAACAGCAGTCCTTACGAGTTTGTCAATTTTACAGACAAGTAGAAGAAAAGAGATTTGAATGCTACATAAACACTGCAATACTATTCTTTTGAAACAGAAAAAAAAAGTATAGCAATCTTAAGTTCTCAGAACTCAAGCCATCGCTAATTCTAAAATCAAAATAAGGACAGAAAAAAGTTAATCTGCATGCTCATCGATCCCTCTCATAGTACAGAAGAAAACGGTGCTTCTTTTATTTACTCAGATTCATAGAGAATTTAACAGCTCTGCTTTTCATATATTAATATAATATTTATTTCAACTTACCACCCAAATATGATACAGTTCTAGCTTCCGGAAACGGGTTGTTTCCAGATAAATCCAAAATATCTAGCTGATGAATTTCTCCTCGTATTTTGTAGTGTTTACGATGGAAATTTTCTATTGTAGGAATATAACGTTCTTCAAAATTGTTGTTCAGAAACCGATTCACAATTGCCGACTTCCCAGTGTTTGCCGAACCAGCGACAATAAGTCGATAAAATTTTTTTACAGCTGGTGATGTTGGACAGCTTAATTGACCCTCTAATAAACTTTTACTACTTCGCGACAGATGAGTCGACATCTTTTTCAATTTTTTTTGGCCTTCTCCTTCACCTCTTCAACCTGACTTTTTCCCGTTCAATTGACCACCAGCCAAAAAAAAAAACTCTACAGCAATTTATGCACAGTAAAACAATACTTTACTGCGTAATCGTAGCAGGAGTAAACATTTTCAGCTGAATTATAGCCGGCTGAATTGTGGCAGAGCAGTAGATGAAGATGGACAGCTGCTGCGGTTCCCGCAAACACGTAGTAGTAACACTTCCTTAATATATCACAACGCATACATTGTTTTCAGCCGAACAAAACACAAAATAACCAATATAGCTCGTTTTCCAGGGACTACTTTGAATGTAGGAAAGCAGCAAAAAAACTCTAAC